GAACATCACTATTTTTCAAGTGTGAATATTTGTATTGCATCAGTGACCCTATTGCCTTGGCAGAGGTATGCACTCTGTGTGCTTCTATTTTTTACTTGTTCTTCAGTCTGTTTGTGGCTCTTCTTTGCTTTCCTTTTACAGTTTCATCATTTGTTGTTTGTCAGTTCACTTTTTAAGGCATAAGAATAGAATATAGCACAGTGACATTTTCAGAAGGCAGCATGATAATCACTCACAGAATGATATGCTATCTTCACTCCAGAGGTTGTCTTGTTATCAGATTACAAATATTGTGATAGGTGGAAGAAGTCTTAAAGCTTGTTATATAACTAATTTCCTGTGACATAAACATTTTAAATTGCCTTTCCCTGTAACATATCATCATTGTCGTCATCATTGTTATCATAGAAGTATTAAATATGGTAATAGTAGAAGATATATAAACCTTTCATTCTGAAATTCAGGGAGTGAGTGAACAGGTAAAGTCAAGTAACCTTGGTAATTGGATCCATGGTCATTAAATGCTTCAGGAGCCATCAGCATGTAAAGTCAATTAATAGAACAAAGCCATAGTGGACAGTACAGTATTCATGCACTCTTGGTTTCAGTGGGTTAAAGTAACATAATTGAAAATAGCCAGGTAAATATTTTTTCTGTGCATGGATATTTACATTTGGGAAATTCAGAAACCATTAATCTTGTTATGCTGGTAATTTTAAGTTTAAAAAGTTATGGCTTTACATTTTTGTATATTCAAACATTTGTATGGAACATAGCCAGAAGTATTTCCTTTGCATTTTGCCGATCAAATTGTCCCATTCAACAGGAACGGTAATTAAAAGGCAATAATTTCATTGCCGGTGTCAGAATTTCTTCTTTTTCTTCAGTGAGGAAGAAAAAGTAAGCTAACATGCACTAGATAGATTGATTATGATTTACTATGGAAAGATCATATTTGTTGCCACAGAAAGATCTTATTTTAATTTTTTGTTTTCTTAGTGAAAAGTACTTATTCTACTAATACATGTTTACATGTTTAATAGTTTGAGAAACCTGGCCGACGAGAGGACTTTGGTTATCCTCAGATGGTAAAAGAATCTGTGGGAAAAGCCCTGGCTGATGCAAAACTCACCTATGATAAGATCCAGCAAGCTACCATTGGATATGTTTATGGTATGTAAGGTTTTGCAACCCTTCATGAACAGTCCTTTTAGGTCTGATGTCTAGGATAAGAATTGACCACATAAGTGCAGATATATTTTCCCACAGTGGAAAACAACACAAATTTTATTATGTCTTTATTTATTATATATATATGTGCATATTTATATATATATATATATATATATATATATATATATATATATATATATATGATGTATCTATATATATATATGTATGTATATGTATATGTATATGTATATGTATATGTATATGTATATGTATATGTATATGTATATGTATATATATATATATATATTATATATATAATATATATATATATATATATATATATATGTATGTATGTATGTATGTATGTATATATGTCACACACACACACACACACACACACACACACACACACACACACACACACACAACCACACACCACACACACCACACCACACACACACACAACACACACACACAACACAACACACACACTCACACACACTCACACACACTCACACACTCACACACTCACACACCACACACACTCACACACACCACACACACACACACACACACACACACACACACACACACACACACCACACACACACACACACACACACACACACACACACACACACAGACACACACAGACACAGACACACAGACACAGACACACACACACACAGACACACAAGACACACACAGACACAGACACACACAGACACAGACACACACACAGACACAACAGACACAGACACACAGACACAGACACAACACAGACACACACACACACACACACACACACACACACACACACACACACACACACACACACACACACACACACACACACACACACACACACACACACACACACACACACACACACACACACACACAAACCGATATGTACCATATATAAGTATATACATATATTTATACCTATACTTATATATGTATGTATGTATGTGTGTGTGTGTGTGTGTGTGTGTGTGTGTGTGTGTGTGTGTGTGTGTGTGTGTGTGTGTATGTGTGTGTGTGTGTGTGTGTGTGTGTGTGTGTGTGTGTGTGTGTATGTATGATGTATTTGTATGTATGTATGTATATGTATGTATGTATGTGTGTGTGTGTGTATGTATGTATGTATATGTGTGTGCGCTCATGTTTTCACTTGTTTTTCTATATTAGTAAACATAGCATTATCCAATAGGTGATTCAACATGTGGTCAGCGTGCCTTGTATGAGGTTGGCATGACTGGGATTCCAATGTACAATGTCAACAACAACTGTTCAACTGGGTCCACGGCACTTTTGCTGGCAAAGA